TCGCCACCATGCTGAGCAGGTCCTGTATCTGAGAAGTTGCTGACTTTTTAAAGATTTATCACACTTACTATGCTTGTGTTATTAACTGGTACATTCAGTATCTCGATTAGAAGCCTGACAGTCATATTTGGGTTCCATTGGAACTCTTGGAAGAGTAACTTGGAAGAATTAGCAGGATTGTTCTTAAGTCAGTTTTATTGACACTTCAACTCAATGCATTCGATTGGACACATCCTTGTCCAAGAGGCTTTGGTAGAAAAACTCTTTGTAAACTCTATCTTTCTGTGCATGTATTTGGTGGAAAATAGAGCTTTGTTTACTGAGCTTTTATATTATACACTTTTTGCAATGTAGGTCATCTGTTACTTATGCAGGTTCTCTGGTAAGCCTTCTACATTGAAGTACAGTTTGAGTTTGTTTTTTAAAAAATGTCCTACTACTTCTTACAACTTTGGCTTGCCTTGTGGCTGAACTTTGTTCTGCCCGTGGTAGACACAGAGAGGAGTTTATTCCATACTTTTTTAACATGCACTTTTATTTTTGTCTACACGCAGACTGGCATCCTGTTTCTCACTGTTTTGTTGGGGCTTTTTAAGGGGTAAATACAATTGACGATGATTGAAATAATTGAGGTTGTGTGGGTTCCACCCCCCTTGCCCTTTCCCTTCACCTCTTGTCATTCTTTTTCTTTGCTGTTGTTTTTACTGAGTCTAAGTCTTGCTTGTATTTCTCAATGTGCTACTGTGGCCAGTGATTCCAATCTTAGACTGAAGATTTAACTTTGTGTGACATATAAAATAACACCTGCATCCATGGCCTACTTGGATTTCAGTTGGAGACATTTGTAGAACAATACTCTGCATACTTATTGTTTCCTATCATGAATCTGTTTAGTCCTACACAAACATAGATTTCTCAGTTTGGATGCAGTTCAACACACTGTTTTTCAGCAATGATAGTTAATAGTCAAGATTACTCCTGAATTTTAGTGTCACCTCCAGTATGTGTAGTTCTCTACAGTTACTTTGTCTGCAGATCTAAAGACTATGGTCTTTGTTCTTCAAGTCATCCAAAGGAATAAAGAATGGTACTGGACCCAGAAAGACCTCACATACTTTTTTTTTTTTTTAAATCATCTCTACTCTGCCTGTAAGCATATGGCCAGGAAAAAGTGTCTCTGAAGTAATTTTAGTGTATCATTAATGTGGTTATGTGTTTTCAGAGTTACTATTATGAAAGACAAAGACACCAGGAAGAGCAAAGGAGTTGCCTTTATTTTGTTTTTGGATAAAGAATCTGCACAAAACTGTTCTCGGGCACTTAATAACAAACAGGTAAACTGTGGAAAGCTCTTATAGCAAGAGGCTTGGGTTTACAGTCCCAAAATATTAACCTTTTTTTTTCCAATTTGCTGTAGTTGTTTGGAAGAGTAATAAAAGCAAGTATTGCCATTGACAATGGAAGAGCAGCAGAATTCATTCGCAGGCGTAACTACTTTGATAAGTCCAAGTGTTACGAATGTGGGGTGAGTAGAACCAAAAGTGAACTAATATATTCCATCTTTTGTCTCTGAGCTTGTTTCTTCAGTTTGGCCATTGCTAATCCTGCTCATGCTGTTAAATTATTTTTTTTTCTGTTGATATTATCAACTTGCATAGCAGTTGTACCATTTTCAAAAATGATAGTACTCCTTTTGTCTTACATTTCAGATTTTGGGGGTGAAGGAAAACATGTGCATATAATTGCTACTTAACGCGCTGATGAGCAGACAGATCCAAGTGTCAGTACAATGCTGTTTGTGAAGGAAAACCTCCTAATCTTTTCTTCAAAATACCTGCTTTTCCTATATCTTTGGAAGTTCATTATATATTTGGTAGTAAAATAAATATTGGAAACAACAAACAACTGTTTTTAAACAGAAGAAGTGCGTTTTAAGTTTTAGGCAGTTCCTCACTTTTCCTGAACATAGTAACATAAGAGATTTCAAGTTGGATAGTATTTAATGTCAAATACAAACTTGATTTATATTCACAACACATTTTAGAGCAAAAATGTGGACTCACTCCTGTTTCTTAAACTGTTAATGCTGTGGTTTATTTCTTGTCTTGAGCATAAACCGTGCTGCAGTGTATTCAGCTATTGCAGCAGCCTAAGAAAATCTACTTTGCTCATAGCTTGTTCTCAATTTGCAGTTAAACATGCATATCACCACCAATCTCTTTGTTTCCATGGCAAGCTTATAGAGAAGAGTTTGTCTTCTGTGCGCTAATTCAGCATTCCATTTATCTTACTAATTGCTTCCATTTTTTTTCCCCCGTGAACTGTCTTACATTAACTTTCCTCATGATATGTTTCAACATATAGTTGTTTGTAATGGTTTCTGTTAAGCAATATTTCTTTTTCTCTAAGGAAGCAGGACACTTAAGTTATGCTTGTCCTAAAAATATGCTAGGAGAGCGGGAGCCACCTAAAAAAAAGGAAAAGAAGAAGAGAAAGAAAGTAGTTGAACCAGAAGAAGTGTATGTATCTTTATTTGCATGTTAATACTTCTTTTAGGCAGATTTTTTTCATTATGAATCCTTAAAATAAAGATCTATATATTTTTCTCTCTCTGCACAATGAAGTGAGGAGGAAGAAGAAAGCGAAGAGGAAGGAGAAGACCCTGCTCTAGATAGTCTCAGCCAAGCCATAGCTTTTCAGGTACAAAATTGAAACATTGCATATTTATTATTTAAATGTAACCCTATGTCCTTTTTTCAGCTGCTTTTCAAAAGCTCTGTGATACACCCGTGAGTCTGTCTGCTCTGTAGCACCCAAGGGTCTCTTGCCTGACAGTAGTTGGTGACTATGGCTGTTTTGTTTGGTTTTTTTTACTAATCCACTGTTGCTGTGTTTCTGCATTGCAATTCCTTCTTTCCTTCAAGCTCCTTTGCTGCTTAAGTTCCTGTCATCTCTGCTGTCATGCTTTATTAGGTTTCTGGTCCACAAATCCCTCTTTACTCTGTTAACTGAGCAGCCAGAAAAACAGTCATGTATAAATGACCAGGTACATTCTCTGCCCTCACTTATTAGAATGTCCTTGAACAGCATCTATTTCTGGAGCACTTCCTTTGCCTCATACAGTCAATCACAGTCTCTTAATAGACCTCTTCTCTCAAAACATATTTAATGCATTTTTTGTTATGTAGATAGAAAGTCTGACAGCTGTATTACTATCTTCTTTAATACTTCTTTACAGGCTTTTGCCTCACTACACAGAGCAAGCCTGACCTGATGTTCGAATTTTATGGCTCCCTAGTCCTCAGCTGTCCCCTCTGTGCCCCTGTCCACTCAAAAATATACAGAGAGTTTCTAAGATAATTTTGTCCTGAATATGACTCTAATGGGTGCAAAACTTTTACATTATGTAGTCAGAAAAAATGATGCAAATATGCACAATTATTGCCCTCACACACTCCCAGAGAACTCCACAATTGGAAGTAAAACATATAAATGTAAACAAGCCAGAAAACATTTACATTTCTCTCACCATCCAAAGATTTTTAACTCGGATAGCACGTTTCCTGTAAAAATAGGAAGCATCTATTTAAACCTTCAGTTGAATAACCTTTACATCACTGAAGACAGTCATTTTCAGAATGAATGACTGCAAAAGAAAACAGTTGTTAGTGGAACAAAGCTTGGTTCAATAGTGTCAGTTTAAAGCAGGATGCATTCTTTGCTTTGGGTACTCCACATGGCTTGCATTAGTGCAGAAGACTTACTCTTTGCATGTGAGAACTACTTTCAGAAATGTTTTCTAGTGCGTTCGTTGCACATTTTATCTGGAAGTGGAGATAAACCCTTTGAATTATTGAACTTATTAAATAATTCAATGCATATTAACAAATAGCATTAATATTTGTATTGCATCGTAGTTTTTCTTAATCCTAGCTAATACGTTTCCTTTTTTTCATTGTAGCAAGCCAAAATTGAGGAAGAGGAACAAAGATGGACGCAGACTGCAGGGGAATCTTCAATTTCAGATGATTCAAAACGACCACGGATTAAGAAAAGTGCTTATTTCAGTGATGAGGAAGAACTTAGTGATTGAAATAATACTGTTTTATATGCATTTGTAATATATAGTGTACATTTTGTAAAGTGCTATAAAGTTATCAGTAATACAGGTCTGTCTTGGTGTTGAGGACACTGAAAATCATGTTGTAGTTCTACCTTGCCACTCAAACCTTCAATTTTTTTGATAACTCTCTCTTTCAAAACTGGTGTGTTTTTACACTGAAATCCAGAAAAATATCTTGGAGAATGCTGCTTGCAGTTAGTATCTAGACCCAAACCCTGGCAGTGAAATGTTTCATAAGAGAATTTCCAAAGTTGTTTTTTGGTTGGTTGTTTTTTTTTTCCCTAAGAGGAGTTCCTCTTCGCATCACTGTTAGCACTATTGATGCTTTATGTATTGCTCTGTTTATTGTCTGTTTGGAAGCAGTGCTTTAGTAGTACTTTAGTAGTTTACGAGTCTTTCACCAGTTCCTCTGCATAGGGCTGAATTTCAGCCTTAAGCATTGCACTATTCTTTTAACTCTTCATGCAATAATATAATAAATTTATAAGTCATATAATCTTGGTTTGTGGAATCATGTTAGACTAAACAATATGTCCATCTGTTATCCAAAATGATATTAAGATGTTGATCTTCTGTTTTAGGCACAGTTTTAGTTTCTTGCTGCACACTCTTGTATTTTATAGCCTATATACATATAGGCTTCGTAGGCATTGCAAGTTAAAGGTTATGTGGTGATTAGTTTAGTCTTGAAATCTTCATGCCTAATATTTCTTGAGTGATAGTTCTGTTGATCTTGCATTAAAATTGAGAATGGCCATATGATTTAAAAATGGGAATGTGCGTATGTTTTAGCATGCTGTAATCTGATACTGAAAGTCCCTTGCCGTAACAAGGGCTTATATTGTGCTGTTTCTCCTAACTGCAGTTTTGGTGCCTAACAGGGTAATAATGATTATGGACAGGATTTTAAATATGCTTGGATCTAACATGGATCACATTCCTATCTTCTCTGGCATCTGAACCCTCTGGCAAAATCCAGAGGGCAGAGAGTTTCCAATGTGCTTAAAAATCAGCTTTCACACGTACTTAGAACTGTCATGGTCTCAAAGCAAAGTGCTATCAGCGCCTGTTTTGCACCTAAAGCTGTTCAGATCTTTTAATTAGAGTCTCCATCCTTATATCTCTGTAGGGTTCTAGTCATGGTCTCCTAAAAAGCCTCATAGATGCAACAGGATAATAGTACAAAACCCTGCAGCAGTGATCACTCCCGAAACTACAGATACATGGTGATGGTGGTAACCCTTTGATATTGGCCACTTTGCATAGTCAAACTTCATTTTTAGGAGGCACGGTGTAAAACACATTCTTGCTTCCATACTTGAAAGGAGACTAGCTGGCATCTTCTATTTCCAGCTCTTCCTGTTGCTTATCAGAACTTGATTTTCTTCCAAATATAGAAAACGTAAATCCAAATATGCCATAACATATTCTTAATTAATAGCAATTTACATTCAGATATGTAAGTGGGTGCAAAGAAGAGACATACGTGCACCCCCTCTAAACTCATAAAAGGCAGTCTCATTCAGAAGGTCATTTTGGGGGTCTTCTGTTACTACTTTCACAAGAATTCAGAAACAAGAATAAGGTAATGAAGTGAAAGATTTTTCTGTACAGACTACTCAAGCCACAGAATGGGGAGAAATATTGGTCTTTGACTCAGTAATCTAAAGAAAATTTTTAAGGCTTAGTTTGTGAGTTTCTGCTGGAAACACTATATATTCAGGCTGATTAAATCTGAAGTTTCCCTCATTGAATTTTGGAAGGGTCACTTGATACCGAATAGCTGAGTGCTGAAGTGCCAGGTGTAACTTAGCGTTAATAAATGCAAATCACTGTACATCCTGTGTGTAATAATGAAAACTGAGGAGTGCTGAGCTCTGCTAAGGAAGAAGATCTTGCTGCCAGCTTGCTTCTCTGCAAAGGCTAGGTTAGGGCTCAACAGCAGTGGAAAAAAAGAAGGGAGGGCAAAACAAACAAAAATACTATGCTTCTATTTAAAATCAGGGTTTGTTGTCTTTTCCGATACCATGTTCAGTGTTAGCTTAAATACAATCTCCACTCAGAAATATCCTGAATTACTGGACTACCTTTAGCTGTAAAATGCACAGAGATATTGCCTAGGAATGTTTTATTCTTGTACAGTTCTCTGTTTCGTATTTGCTACAGGTGTCTTGTCAGAAAGAATAAAAACAAAGCTCACCTTTGTTCTGACCTCATACAGTACTTTTTCAAGAGCTCCGGTAGCTGAAGCACGTTGATGTATTTTTCTACTCTGCTGCTTCTGCTTCGCTGCTTTCCCCATAGGATTTGCTTTTGTCAGCATGAAGCAGTAGCACAGTCCAGACTATTACAACTGACCTGGTGGTGTTCCTCCGTGCTCTTTTGTTCCAGGCGTAAAGTCACTTGAGACAGGTGGCATTGGAAAAGAATCAGATAAAAATGAACCTGTTTCTGTGCAGAATTGGCATCTGGAATACCTTACTTTAAATCATCTTCCTTTAATTGTGTTCTTAACTGTGTTTGAACTTTTATCGGTTAGCAATGCTTATGGTTTTTGGCTTAGAATCAGAGTAAAGAAGAAAGCACCTGGTGCCTAAAACAGGACCTAGAGGGACTTTGGAGGAGTAGGATTTTTGCACTTTAGTCTCCTGAAGAATTTTAAGATTCTGTTATTTGTTGGCAAGAAAATGTAGCATCTCTAAGTGAGAAATTCAGAACACTAACATTAGGTAACCATTAGGTTAGATAGTACCTGTTCTGCTTGCTTAAATCCAAAATTGTCTGCAGCAACCTCTGGTGCAGCTGCTTCATTCTGGAAAAAGGCCAAAACCTGTCAACTGAGTCCCTTTTCGATCTTTAAACACCGAGGGATTTGCTCCTGTTGGTGCCCAACCTCACCTACTTCAAGCAGCATGGCTTCACGTTTCCGTCCGAGTCTGGTGTTTCCATCTGCTCAGTGTTGAGAAGATAGGTGGAGTGTTAACTGGGCTCCTGATTTAGATCAGGGCAATGGGGTGCAATTCGTTTCCAAAACATGAGACAGAGAGGTACTTCTGTCAGAGTTTGGTATCTTAAAGCACCAGCTCAGGAAGCAGAAAACGGCTTTGGTGGCTGTGTGGCTCTGGGCCAGACAGATGAGGCTACATAGTCGTTAACAAATGAGAGAAGCTTAAAAATCGCCTTGTAGAGCACCTTCCTGTTATTGTTAGAAAAAACACAGGAGTTTGGGGTGGGGGGGGGGGGGGGGGGGGGGCCGTGATTTTTT